TCCAAATAATCATAAGGTCTTACTTCAAAGCCTACATGCCACAAAATTTGAAAATCTAAATAAAATGGACAATTTTCTTGACATATTCCACTTACCAAAATTAAATCAAGATCAGGGAAATACACGAAATACTCCTATATCCCCCAAGAAATAGAACCACTCATCAAAAGTCTCCCTTCCATCTGGAAAAGATCATCGTGAGTGTGTTATCCCAGAAGCAGAAAAACACACATGGTGTATACTCACTCATATAGACATATAGGATAAACCTACTAAAATCTGTACACCTAAAGAAACTAAGCAAGAGAGAGGAATCTTGCTAAAATGTTGAATCCCTATCCAGAAAGGCAAAGAGGATGAACATCAGAAGAAGGAGAATAGAGGGAACAAGTCAGGAGCCTGACACTCAGGACCTCTGAAAGGCTTTGCTCTGCAGGCTATCAATGTAGATGCTGAGACTTATGGGCAACCTTTGGGCAGAGTTCAGGGAACCTTATGAAAGAAGTGGGAAACAGTAAGATCTGGAGAAGACAGGAAGGTTCCACAAGGAGAGCGACAGAACCAAAACATATGAGCACAGGGGTATTTCCTGAGACTGATCCTCCAACCAAGGACCATACATGGAGATAACCTAAGACCCCTGCACAGATGTAGCCCATTGCAGTACAGTATCCAAGTGGGTTCCATTGTAATAGGAACAAGGACTGTCTCTGACACGAACTGATTGGCCTGCACTTTAATTACCTTCCCCTGAGGGGGAAGCAGAAATAACAGGCCACAGAAGACAATGCAGCCATTCCTGATGAGAACTAATTGACTAGGATCACAAGGAAGGAAAAGAAGACCTCCCCTATCAGTGGACTTGGGGATGGGCATGCATGCAGAGGGTAGAGGAAAGGAGGAATTGAGACAAGAGGTGGGAGGGAATCACAGGGAGGATACAAAATGAATAAAGTGTAATTAATAAAGAAGAAAAAAAGTCTTCTGTCCAAAAAACAAGAACAAAAACAGGGACAGACAGTTTCAGAGCTGAATTCTACCACACCTTCAAAGAAGAACTAACTCAAATTCTCTTCAATCTATTCCACAAAATATAAAAAAGGAACATTATCAAACTCATTCTAAGAAGCAACAGTCACTTGACATCTAAACCACACAAAGACCCAAGAAAGAAAACTTCAGACCTCTCTCTCTTATGAACATTGATGCAAAAATACTCAATAAAATACTTGCAAACCGAATCCAAAAACACATAAGAGATATCATCAACTATGACCAATAAGCTTCAACCCAGGCATATAGGGGTGGTTTAGTATACAGAAATCCATCAATGTAATCCACCATATAAACAAACTGAAGGAGAAAAATCATATGATCCACTTCTTAGATTACAAAAAAGCATTTGAGAAATTCCAACACCCATTCATGTTTAAAGACTTGGAGAAATCATGGATACAATGCACATACATAAATATAGTAAAGACATTATAGAGTAAGCCTATAGCCAACATCAAACAAAATGGAGAGACACTTAAATGACTCTCACTGAAATCAAACAAGGCAAGACTGCTGACTCTCTCCGCATCTCTTCAACATAGTACTTGAACTCCTATCTAGATCAATAAGACAAATAAGAGTTCAAGGGGATACAAATCAGAAAGGAAGAAGTCAAAGTATTATTATTTGCAGATAATATGATAGTGTACATTAGTGATGCCAAAAATTCAACCATAGAACTTCTTAGCCTATAAACACTTTCAGCAAACTGGCTGCGAAAAAATTAACTCAAAAAAAAAAAATTCAGTATCCCTCCTGTACATAAAAGGCAAAAGGGCTTAAAATGAAGTTAGGGACACTACACCTTTCTCAATAGCCACAAATAACATAAAGTACTTTGATGTGACTCTAACCAAGCAAGTGAATGATCTGTTTGAAAAAAAAAACTTCAAGTCTATGAAGAAAGAAATAGAAGAAGATATCAGAAGATGGTAAGATCTCCCATGCTCATGGATCAGCAGTATTAACATAATGAAAATGGCCATCCTGTGAAAAGCAATCTACAAATTCAATGCAATTCTCAACAAAATACCAACACAATTCCTTACAGAACTTGGAAGAAGAAATCTCAACTTCATATGGAAAATCAAAAAACCCAAAATTGATTTTAAAATCCTGTATAACAATAGATTCTCAGTAGGTATCACCATTCCTGATCCCTAGCAGTTCTACAGAACAATAAAAAATAAAAATAAAAATAAAAACCTCTATGTTACTGGCATAGTAACAACATGATAGATCCATTGAATCAAATAGAATACCCAGAAATAAACCCATACTCCAATGGAAATGGATTTTTGACAAAGATGCAAAAAAAACATACAATGGAAAAAAAAAAACATCTTCAAAAAATGATGCTGGTCTAACTGGTTGTCTACATGTAGAAAAGTACAAATAGAGACATATTAATCACCTTGGACAAAACTAAAGTCCAAGTGAATCAAAGACCACAACATAAAACCAGACACACTAAATCTGTTAGAAAAAAAGTGGGAACGTGCATGGAACTCATTGGCAGGAGACAACTTCTTGAACAGAACACCAACAGCACAGGCTCTAAGATCAACAATCAATAAATGGGACCTCATGAAACTGAAAAGCTTCTGTAAAGCAAAGGACACTGTCATCAAAACAAAGGGATAAACCACAGACTGGGAAAGGGTATTCAACAAACCTATATCTGGCAGGGGGCCAATATCCAGAACATATAAAGAACTTGAGAAGTTAAAAAGCAATAAATTGATTAATCCAATTTAAAAATGGGGTACAGAGATAAACAGAGTTCTCTATAGAAGAATATCAAATGGCAGAGAAACACTTAAAGAAATGCTCAATGTCCATGGTCATCAGGAAAATGCAAATCAAATCGACCCTGAGATTTCATCTTACAAAGAAAAGAATGGCTAAGAACAAAAAGTCAAGTGACAACACATGCTGGAGAGGATGTGGAAAAAGGGAAATCCTCCACCACGGCTCCTAGGAATGTAAACTTGTACAGCCACTTTGGAAATCATTCTGGCACTTTGTCAGACAATTAGGAACACTGTTTCCTCAAGATTCAGCTTTAGCACTCCTAGGCATATATCCAAAATATGCTCAAGCACACAACAAAGACATTTGCTCAACCATGTTTCATAGCACATGTATTCATAATAGGTAGAATATGGAAACAACCCAGATGTCCCTCAACTGAGGAATGAATAGAGAAATTGTGGTACACTTACACAATGGAATTTTAAAAAATTTCAAAACAAGGAAATCATGAAATTTGCAGGCAAATGGTGGGATCCAGAAAAGGTCATCCTGAGTGAGCTATCCCAAAAGCAGAAAGACATGCATGGTATATACTCACTCATAAGTGTATATTAGACTTATAATATAACATAAACAAACTAAAATCTGTACAACTAAGGAAGCTAAGCAAGAAGGAGGACCCAGTGTAAGATGATGAAACCTCACACAGAATGGCAAACAGTACGGACATCTGAAGTGGGAGAAAACAGGGAACATGACAGGAGCCTAAAACAGAGAGCCCCTGAAAGGCTCTACCCAGAAGCATATCAAAACATTTCCTGAGATTCATAGCCAAACTTTGGGAGGAGTGCAGAGAATCTTATGAAAGAAACGGGAGATAGCAAGACCAGGAAGGGGCAGGGAATTCCACAAGGAGAAAAATAAAACCAAAAAATTCTGAGCACAGGACACTTTTCTGAGACTTATTTTCCAACCAAGGTCCATGCATGGAGATAACCTAAAACCCCTGCACCGATGTAGCCCATGGCAGCTCAGTCTCCAGGTGGAATACCTAGTAAGGGGAACAGGAGCTGTCTCTAACATAAACACAGTGGCTGACTCTTTGACTCTTTCCCCTCAGGGGGAAGCAGTCTTACCAGGCCACAGAGTAAAACAAAGCAGCCAGTCCATAATGAAACCTGATTAGCTAGGGTCAGATGGAAGGGGAGGAGGTCCAACCCTATCAGTGGACTGAGGCAGGGGCATGGGAGGAGGAGAGGAAAGGAGAGTGGGATTTGGAGAAGACGAGAAAAGGGGCATAGCTGGGATACAAAGTGAATAAATTGTAATAAATAAAAATCAGATGCATATATGCAGTAGACACAGACATATAGAGGAAAGCATACCACATGTGCAGTTGCCCAGAGTTCCTCATCTTTCTGTGTGCTGATAATGCAATCCAGGTCTTTCAAATTTATACATCCTCATATAATTGCAGCATTAAACTGTTTATTATATGAAAAAAACAACAACAATTCAGATATTCAAAAGAAACCAAGCGTTGTTTCTTTGAGAAAATCAACAAGATAGACAAACCCTTAACCAAACTAACTAAAAGTCAGAGAGAAACTATACAAATCAACAAAATCAGAAACAAAATGGAGGCCATAATGACAGGCACTGAAGAAATTCAAAGACTCCTTAGGTCAAACTTCAAAAGTCAATACACCATTAAATTTGAAAATCTAAATGAAACGGAAAATTTACTTGAAAGATCATTTACCAAAGTTTGAGGCTACTTAATCTAAACTAATAATCTGAGGATTATGTATTCTATGTAAATAATTTTAAAGTCTATCATCCTATTTTATACAGATTCATCATAGGCTAAATGTATAACAAAGAGATATCTAAAGTCAGCATGACACCATAAGCTTCAATGATGTTTCTTGCTTATACTGTATCCTCTCAGTGCAAAACGACAACTTCTAAATCTCTTAACTTAGCTTCTTTTTTCTATACACACCAGTGTTGCCAAAAATATGGAAGAAAGGAGGCTATCTCTTAATTAATTTTCTACTGAAGATTTCATCAATTAGTCATGCTTAGCAGATATTAGGCAGAAGGCGGAAGTGTGCAGGCCCACGGTTGAGTGTGGTACAGGCAGCTGGTGAGACTCTCAAGGAGGTTTGTGTTGTAGGCTGAAGCACTGTGGGAGGATAGCTGCTATGCTGCTGACAGTAATAAACTGCCAGGTCTTCAGCCTGCACACTGCTGATGCTGAGAGTGAAATCTGTCCCAGATCCACTCCCTGTGAAGCGATCAGGGACCCCAGTGTATCGACTGGACGCAGAGTAGATTAGCAGTTTAGGAGGCTGCCCTGGTTTCTGCTGGTACCAATCCACATATCCATTCACAATCTGACTGGACTTGCAGCTTAGGGTGATCCTGTCTCCTACAGATGTGGACATTAATTCAGGAGACTGGGTCATCACAATGTCCCCCTCAGCACCTGCAACCAGAAATAGACAATGAGTATAGTCATATACACACAAAGAGTTCCTGATACAAATGTTGGAATCTAAAATGCCTTTTCTAATGGCTTTGCCTGAATACCACTGGATTCCTATAGAAAATAGCTGTTTCTCTATGAATGAATTAATTTGATGATATTCTAATACTCTTTAATACTCACCAGACGTCCAGAGGAGCAGGAATATGAAGATCTGGGTGTGTGACTCCATCTTGGTACCCCAGCCTGTCTGATGCTTTTCAGTTCTAACTGCAAAAGCCTGGTTTATAAATTATGGGCAGATGGGCTGTCTTGGAGGGACCTATGCAAAACAGTCATCACATGAGAAAGTAAATAGCCAGGGTACTGGGCTGATTGAGAATCCAGGTTAAATTTTCAGCCAAAAATATCATCAAAACAAGGAAGCAACCACTGGGGGGAAAAGTAAAGTCAGAAGCTCAAGGACCAACTTAGAGCTATCAATCCAAAAATATTGAAATGCACTCATGACAGGCTTCCATTAAAAATCAAAAGCATTTAAATAAAGTGAGTTTTATAGAAATAATACTGGAAAACCTTTGATTACAATCCTGAGGAAACAATAAATATACTAATCAACAACAGCAGAAAGAAACAGGAGAAGCAGAAAGAAGAAAGGAAAAAAGAAGGGGAAAACAGATGAGTAAGTAAGAAAAGAGAGGATAGAGAGGAGAGGGAAATCTGGATTGGAGAGAGAATGGAAATGTTGAGAGAAAAGAAAAATTGAGCAGCTAAAGGAAATACATATTAAAACAGAATGGTTTGGGAATAGAGAGTCAAATCAGTAGTTATGAGCATTTGATTCTCTTATGAAACACTCATGTTTGATTCCAATGAATTGTCTGATGATTCTCAGTCATCTATAATCCCAGTTATAGCACATATATGGTAGACATACATACATATCTAAATACATGCATAGATTTTGAGATGTGAGCCCTGAGCTTCTGCTCCAGCTAAAACAAGGTCTGCCACCTGCTGCTTTCATTCTGCTATCACGGATTCTAGTTCTCTGAAAGACCCAATAAATACTTTCTTAAAAAGTGGCTTTGGCACTCCTGATGTGATCAGAAGGAAGGAGAAGAGGACCTCCTCTACCAGTGGACATGGGGAGGGACATGCATGAAGAAGGTGGAGGGAGGGTGGGATCAGGAGGGGAGAGGGAGGGGCTTATGGGAGAATACAAAGTTAATAAAGTGTAATTAATAAAAAATTAAAATTTAAATTTAAAAAAGTGGCTTTGGTATTTTTAATTAAATTTTGATTTTTTTTTACATTAATTATATTTTATTTGCTTTGTATCCCAGCTATAGCCTCTCCCTCATTTCGTCCCAATCCCACTCTTGCTCTCTCCCTCATCTTTTCCCATTCCCCTCTCTAAGCCCACCAATAGGGAGGTCCACCTCCCCTTCAATCTGACCCTAGCTAATCAGGTCTCATCAGGACTGGCTCCATTGTACTCCTCTCTGGCCTGGCAAGGCTGCTCCTCCCTCGAGGTGGGTGACAGGGGTCAAAGACACAGCCACTCAGTTCATGTCAGAGACAGTCCCTCTTCCCCTTAGGAGGAAACCCCTTAGGATACTGAGTTTCCATGGACTGCATTTGTGCAGGGGTTCTAGGTTACAGCCATGAATGGACCTTGGTTGGAGTTTCAGTCTCAGAAAATAGCCCTGAGCCCAGATAATTTGGTTCTGTTGCTCTTCTTGTGGAGCTCCTGTACTCGCCAGTTCTTACTAACTACCTCTTCTTTCATATGATTCCCTGCACTCTGCCCGAAGTTTGGTTATGAGTCTCAGCATCTGCTTTGATATACTGTTAGGTAGAGTCTTTCAGAGAACCTCTGTGATAGGCTCCTGTCCTGTTTCTTGTTTTTTCCTTCTTCTGATGCCCATTCCATTTGTCTTTCTAAGTGAGGATTTATCCTCTTACCCTGTGTCTTCCTTCTTGTTTAGCTTCCTTAGGTGTACAGATATTAGTAAGTTTATCCTATCTTATAGGTCTAGTATCCACTTATAAGTGAATATATTTCCTTGTTTTTAATTACTGACTTGTATTCCATTGTGTTAATGTACCACAATTTCTGTATCCATTTCTCCATTGATGGTCAGTTGGGTTTTTTCAAGGTTCTGGCTATTACAAATAAAGCTGCTACAATCATGGTTGAACAAATGTCATTGTTGTGGATGTGATCAACTTTTGGATATATGCCTAGGAGTGCTATTTTTGGATCTTGAGAAAGCGCATTTTCTAAGTTTCTGAGAAAGCACCTCATGTGTTGTCAATTGAGTTTTTGATCTTAGCTATTCTGACAGCTGCAAGGTGAAAACTCAAGGTTGTTTTGATTTGCATCTCTATGATAACTAAGGATGTTGAGCATTTCTTTAAGTGTTTCTCTGCCATTCAATATTCCTCTATTGAGAATACTCTAGAAGAATTCAGAGTGGTATGTGGCCCATGAGAAAGAGGTAGAGGTCATGTAGCTTAGAAACAAAATTATTACATGCATAATCTCATTTACAAATCTTATATTTTAAACATGAATATTTAAACATGAATTCACCTATAGTGGATATATATAAGGAGAACTAGGAAAGGGAAAGAAACCTGTAGTAAATGAAACATGGAAAAGAGAGAAAGAGGAGGGTAAGGAATTTTAAGAATTATTATGGCTATGATAAAATGTCATGACTAAAAGTGACATAAAACGATGGGAAATTTTATTTTTCTTATACTTCCAAGTAACAGTCCATTACTGAGGGAAGTCAGGGCTGGGATTCAAACAGAGAAGAAACCCAGAGGCAGTAGCTGAACACAGGCCATAGAGGAGAGATGCTTACTAGATTCTTCCTCATAGCTTGCTCAGTTTGCTTTGTTGGGGAAGCCAGGGTCACCATCAATGGCTGGCATCACCTACAATGGACTGCATCCTCCCCCATCAAATAGTAATTAAGAAAATGCCCTACAATCTTGCCCAATGCCCAGTACTACTAAGGCTTTTTCTCTATTGAAGTTTGTCCCTCTCAGATGATTTTAGTTTGTATTTATTTATCATAAAATCTCATCAGTATTTGGTATAAATATGATTATATAACATAATTTTGAAATTAGATTGCTTTTATAAAATACAATTTTATGTATAATGTGTATATTCCAATACAGTTAATTTTTTAATAACGACAGGATAAGGAGCAGTGTGGTTAGTAAGGTGCTCTCTGAGTCTCTGCTGCTGACCATATGTTTTCTGTCCATATGTAGAACACATGGAGACTATGGAATTTAGACACATGAAAGCACTTATCTTTCATTGTTTACATATTCAATGTCTGCCAGATATTTGATGTATTCCTGCCTTGTTTATTTATGTACCATAATTCCTCATGATTTCTGTAAGTACTTTCATTTTTACTAAATAACTAGGACAGAAACTAATTTTATACAAAGGTAATATCAGAAATTTAATAAAAAAAAATAAGGCCATTACTGGAATTTAAAGATTATCCATTTTAAAAATATAGATGATTAATATGAAAAGAAAAATTTTAATTATTTCTAAAATACTTATTCTGCTAATGAACACAGTCATAAAAATGAGAATATTTTTTATCAAATCACCTTTAAAATCATGCTATCAAGATAGGCAAAAGTAACAGAAAATAATTATTTAATCTTCACTCACAGTAGTATCTCCCATAAAATATTAAAGGACATATTGGCTGTTGAATGCTCTCCTAGACTTTCAATTCTATTTGAGTAGGGTAAGGCTGTCTAACTGACCATTGTGATGATGGGAGAGTGATTACTAGGCTATGTAGAGATAGAAAAAACTGATGCCTCAGAAACTGGATGAAAGGATGAGCTCTAAAGGTGTCTGTATTACAAGCTAATGCACCGAGGAGGAGGCTGAAACACTCTTCATGGAAATAACCTGTAACATCTTCAGTCTCAATGCTCATGGTGATGAAACTCTGTCCTATATCCAGGATCAGTCAAAATGCCTTGAAGTTACCCAGGTGTACAAATGAGAAGCCTTTCTCTGCTTTTGCTGGAATCAGGCTAAGCAGCTGGTTCTGAGAGCTGCAAAGATACCACTGATCTTGCAGCTGGTGGTGACCCTCTATGCTGTAGACATGGCCAGGGAGGATCACTACTTCAACCAGGTTCCTCCACAAACTACTCTCTAGTCTCCCCCAGAAGAAGCCTACAGTTCATAGCTCCTCCTAGAGTTAACCAGTGGAAATTGTGATAGCTCCAAGCTCTATTACAGTGTTTGAATTTAGGCACACAATCAATAGTATAGCTAGAATTCCACAACTTGTACTATATAAATGGGGCTGTGAGTTACAATCACTTCCAATCTTATTAGGGTTTACTCGAAGGATGGCTGGTGGTGGTGAGACATGTGATAAAAAAATATTTAGGGAAGAGGTCAAAGTGTCACTATTCGCAGATGATATGATAGTATATATGAGCGACCCCAAAAATTCAACCAGAGAACTCCTCCAGCTGATAAACACCTTTAGCAAAGTGGCAGGATACAAAATCAACTCAAAAAAATCAGAAGCCCTCCTGTATACCAAAGACAAAAGGGCCGAGAAAGAAATTAGGGAAACAACACACTTCACAATAGCCACTAATAACATAAAGTACCTTGGTGTGACACTAACCAAGCAAGTGAAAGACCTGTTTGAGAAAAACTTCAAGTCTCTGAATAAAAAAAATTGAAGAAGATATCAGAAGATGGAAAGATCTCCCATGCTCATGGATTGGTAGGATTAACATTGTGAAAATGGCCATCCTGCCAAAAGCAATCTACAGATTCAATGCTATTCCCATCAAAATACCAATTCAATTCTTTACAGACCTTGAAAAAAAGATTCTCAGCTTCATATGGAGAAACAAAAAACCCAGAATCTTCAAAACAATCCTGTACAACAACAGATCATCTGGAGGTATCTCCATCCCCGATCTCAAGTTGTACTACAGAGCAATAGTAATAAAAACTGCATGGTATTGGCATAAAAACAGAAAGGAGGATCAATGGAACCGCATAGAAGACCCAGAAATAAACCCACACACCTATGAATACTCAATTTTTGACAAAGAAGCCAAAACCATTCAATGGAAAAAAGACAGCATCTTCAACAAATGGTGCTGGTCCAACTGGATGTCCACATGCAGAAAAATGAAAATAGATCTATATTTGTCACCCTG